AGCCCTTTTCCCATTTCCTCGAGGGCAAAATCTCACAGAATGCCCAAACCGCCCACAGTCTATGCAGGAGCTTGGCATCCAAGGAACCGAGACTCTAATTCTTGTCACTGATCCACCGAATAAAACAACATCAATATTATCCTGAATTGAGGACCCAACAGGAACCTCAACACATACTCGAGCATATTCCAATCTTTCCCTAGCAGGTGTAACAAAATCCATGTATAGAGGCTTCCCCACATCACTTGCTATATAGCTCAGCCCCTTCTTAGAAAATAGCTCAAGTGGAACATTGAACAAATGAATCCAAACAGGCATGAAACATAAATCGAATTGCAATTCTCTCAGATTTGGCTCCCATTTCCTAAGTAATATCGGTTTATGTTGTACATGCCACAGACCGTTATCTAAAATCCAGTCCCTAGCATTCGAATTTGCAAAACAAAAAACGTATAAGTTTGGCCCAACTATACTCACCTTGACCGGAGAAACCTTACTCCATAACAGTGTAACTATCTTCTGAATGGAGCTAAAGTTTGGATCCGAGCCAATAAATTGCCCAACTAACGTATGCTTCCAGTCTAGAATCCCTTCCTCGAACACCTATTTCGACGATTTCACTACACACGAACCCCTCAACCACCGTTGGTGGAAAGAACTCCAATTCCTGGTCAATCCCCACCGCAAAGAGTCCTCGCCAGTCAGTAGGGGCATCGCCTGACATGGTCCACCAAAACCCCTAAAAAACCAATCTCAGAAACGATGGAGAAAGTCTCACAATCGGAGGAAATAGCTTCGCCTTCGCCCGCTGTTAGACCAGCTAACATGCACCGAGAGAGAAAGCGGTTATAAAGGTATCAAAATCTTTGTTTTATCTATTAGTAAAATAGTAATTTTTGAATGAAATATTTTTTAAGATAACCACTAAAAAATTATAAAAAACATTAACGAGTTGTTTGCGAACTTATCGAGTCAAGCTTGAGTTCGAACCGAGTTAATCCATGTTAAGCTTTTTATCAAATTTTGACCGAGTTGAGTTCGATGTGCTAACGAGTTGCTTAACTCATTAAGCACCCATAACCTTAACAAGTTATTTATTTTTTCTACCACCTAGTTCAATTTAATAAAAATTAAAAAAATTAAAGATAAAAAATGATTTTTTCTAAAAACCCAAAAGTAAAATGTATTATTTAATCTTAATCTTAATTTTAATTATGGTTATTGATTATAATATTTATAAATGTAATTAAAACTTAAACAACCGTGTAAGAAAAGGGTAATTAGTTTTAACCGATTATACAACCATTGGACGATTATTTCAACAAGGAATAAAAAGCAGACAAAAATAAAGGACCATCAATCAAACAAATCTACCAACATGACAAGATTTATTTGTATAAAGTTATTGTTTTTGATTTCGAGAATAGATGATTTGTCATGTTATTTTATTTTTGTTTGTTGTTCTCTCAGATTTAAGATTTTATACTGATTAATTCGAATCGATTTACGTCGTATATTTAATTTTGACGGACGAATTTTTCAATTATAATCTTCTACATAAATAAATATTTAAATTTGAGATCGTACATAAATGATACCAAACTATTTATCACGCGAAGAAAATCCCGTCGGTTTGTCATTTTGTTTATTCATTTTATTGATACGCGATGATCCGTTCACCCTTTGTCAACAATTGCTTCCATCATCTATGCTTTATTCATTCGGTTTTTTATTATTTAATAGATAAAAAAATTAAAATATTATTACTTAGAAAGTTACGCAGTTATTATTTTATATATTTACTCCTTTCAATTTGGATTATTTGAGATACTCCCTTGATCATATCTTTGAGTAAAACCATTCAACGGCCTAGGTTGCATCGCCAAAACTAAGAAAATGAAATTCCACCTCAGCTATGACGCTTGACAAGGGCGATGGTTGTATATTCACCGTTCTAAATTCAATATTGATTATTAGGGTGAAAAGTAAAAATTTTATATTAAGAGATATATTTATAAAAAGATGAATTTATAAAGTTTTAGGGAAAAAAATAAATTTTATGAAATTTGATGAAGCAATTTGAGTTGTGCAGCCAATGATAATTCATCAATTTTAATTTAAACGGTACAAGAACGATTATAAATGAATGTGGGAGACAAAAGAAGAAAGAAAATATGAGAGAGGATGAACAATATAGATGAGGAGGAGAGAAATTATATTTCAGTATTTTATCAGGGTATAAATATCTCATCTAAAGGATGATTGATGTCATATTTAATATTATCATGTTTGTTAATTGGTTGATAGATTATACAGATAAAATTATTAACTATTACATTTATTGTGTCGAACGTTATGTCAAAGATCGAAGAACATGAATTTAAAATAACGATTACGATAAAAAATATTTTTGAAAATAGTGTGATATCCTCGAAAATTCAATAGAAATTTAAGAAAAATAAATATCCAACTCATTCCCTATTAAACCGATTTTAACATTTGACAAATCTTCGGTGCTGAGTCAGCAATGGAAGTGGATAAAGCCGTTTGCTTGAAAACGGGCATGACGGTCAAAACAGCAATAGTAATAACCAATCACTTTACTACACGTGGTTAGACGTGAGAGGTGGGCCCTAGAAGCGACGAAACATCGCCGTTTGAAAGGTACCCCCGAAGTTTTGCAGCTATAAATACGTTGCGTTTGGGCTTCGATGATATTTCAAAAACACAGCAACGTGTTGCCTTCCCCTGTATTCACTCCTCTGTTTTAGCTTCCCTGTAATAAAAACCCTTCTTCTTCTTGCTCCATTTCTTTTCGAAAAGAAAGCAAGAATCGAAAGAAAATGTGTGGGATTTTAGCAGTTTTGGGTTGTTCCGATGATTCTCAGGCTAAAAGAGTTCGAGTGTTGGAACTTTCCCGCAGGCAAATCATCTTTCTTTATTTTCCCCTCTGTTCTGCTTTCTTAATATTGCAGTGGGGTGTTTTCTTTGAGCTAAAACACATGACTATGATGAAATTTAACCTTAAACTTGATCTTGAGTACCTGAAATTTATTACACTTATTTAGTGATAATCCACGTAGGGTTTGGGCTATAATTCAACAATTATTTAAATGGAAAATTTGATTAAGAGAAATAGGGAGCTGAAATAGTTAGAAATGTTTTGTGAACAGGCTGAAGCACCGTGGCCCTGACTGGAGTGGCCTCCACCAACATGGAGACTGCTACTTGGCCCATCAACGCCTTGCCATCATCGATCCTGCTTCCGGCGACCAACCCCTCTTTAATGAAGACAAGACTGTTGCAGTCACTGTAAGCTTCTATATCCTTCATTTTTGCCTTTATGACCACTCATTAACTTTTCAAACATTTAAGGGCTAAATCCTGTGTTGTAATTGGTCAATTTATATGGTGAAAACTAGGTGAATGGAGAGATTTACAACCACGAAGAACTAAGGAAGAAGTTGGTGAACCACACTTTCAGGACTGGCAGTGACTGTGATGTTATCGCCCATCTGGTAAGTCTCCAATTCCATGGCAAATTATTGTTCTAGTTAGTGTAAAAATTGTTTATTGAACTTAATCTATCTGATAGTATGAGGAGTATGGGGAAGACTTTGTCGACATGCTGGACGGAATCTTCTCGTTTGTGTTGCTCGACAGTCGTGACAACACCTTCGTCGTTGCTCGCGATGCTATCGGTGTCACCTCCCTTTATATCGGCTGGGGACTTGATGGTATATTGAATCTTTCTTTTTGTCAGTTGCATGTACTTCGGGTTGAACTTGAAACTGGCTTTTGCTGATTCCTTTTCGACTATGTGTGATCAGGTTCGGTTTGGATATCGTCCGAATTGAAAGTGTTGAATGATGATTGCGAACATTTTGAATGCTTTCCGCCTGGTCACTTGTACTCTAGCAAATCAGGAGGATTTAGGAGGTGGTACAACCCACCCTGGTTCTCTGAGGCCATTCCATCGGTTCCATATAATCCCCTTGTTCTTCGACATGCATTTGAAAACGTAAGATCGATGACTTGCCGCCCAAGAAACACTTGTTACTTATTTTTTTTTTCCTCTTAGTTTGGCTTACGGGTAGTATCGAATATGTTTACAGGCCGTGACCAAAAGACTGATGACCGATGTGCCTTTTGGAGTTCTGCTATCTGGGGGCCTTGATTCTTCGTTGGTTGCTTCGATCACTGCTCGGTATTTGGCTGGCACCAAGGCTGCCAAGCAGTGGGGACCTCAGCTTCATTCTTTTTGTGTTGGACTAGAGGTAAGTCGTAAAAGTATACGATGGAACCTTAAAGTATATCTTCAAAGGTTCTTAAAACTTCATTGTCGATTTCTCTGCAGGGTTCACCAGATTTGAAAGCAGCAAAGGAGGTTGCAGACTATCTGGGCACTGTCCATCATGAGTTTCATTTCACTGTTCAAGTATTGACTCGATATTTTAGTAACATTTTCGATTCAAGAATTTGGGGTCTAATAATACAATAACAAGCTAAATTGCTCTTTAATGTCGCAGGATGGGATTGATGCCATTGAAGATGTCATCTACCACGTCGAAACTTACGATGTGACCACTATCAGGGCAAGCACTCCGATGTTTCTGATGTCAAGAAAGATCAAGTCACTAGGAGTGAAGATGGTTATTTCCGGAGAAGGCTCCGATGAGATTTTTGGTGGATATTTGTACTTCCACAAAGCACCAAACAAGGACGAATTCCACCGCGAAACATGCCACAAGGTAATACATCATCTTATTCGATTAAGGATATAGCTAAGTATGCTTTGTTCCTATGCCTTCTTTTTCTTTTCTTTTCTGCAGATCAAGGCCCTTCACCAATATGATTGCCTGAGAGCTAACAAAGCAACGTCTGCATGGGGATTAGAGGCTCGAGTCCCTTTCTTAGACAAAGAATTTATCAACGTTGCCATGTCGATAGACCCTGAAGCAAAGATGGTATGTACGCAAGCATTTCCCCCCCTTTTACACGGTTGAGATTTACAGACATATAAGGAATACCTTTATTTATGAATCAGATCAAGAAAGACGAAGGGCGTATCGAGAAATGGGTTCTAAGAAGAGCCTTCGATGACGAAAAACATCCCTATCTGCCAAAGGTCTTAAAACATTCTAAAATCATTTCATTTGTTGTCTTTGATCTTTGTCAACTATAAAGCTAAACTAACATGTCCTGTATGATGTCCTGCAGCATATCCTCTACAGACAAAAGGAACAGTTCAGTGACGGTGTCGGTTATAGTTGGATCGACGGTCTCAAAGCGCATGCTGCACGACATGTAACTATCTTTCCAATGTGTTTTCTCTGATATGCTTTTGCAAAGAATATGGTTTATAATTTAACAATTATAATCTTTCAGGTAACTGATAAGATGATGTTCAATGCTTCTTACATCTTCCCTCACAACACACCTGCTACAAAAGAAGCATATTACTACAGAACGATTTTCGAGAGGTTCTTCCCTCAGGTAATTTTCCGAAATCTGTAGTTCGAATACGATTATGCAATGATTTACTAAAATGATCACTGATAATTTTTCTTTGCTTGGCCTAACAGAACTCGGCTAGATTGACCGTCCCTGGAGGAGCTAGTGTGGCTTGCAGCACTGCTAAAGCTGTTGAGTGGGACGCTGCCTGGAAAAACAACCTCGACCCTTCAGGCCGAGCTGCCTTGGGGGTTCATCTCTCAGCTTACGACTCTGATACTCCTCTCAGCAACAAGCCATCCAAGGCTATCGATAGCATACCGCGGATGATGGAAATTCCTGCTGTCGCCATACAAATTTAGTGCCTGCCTTCTTGAAGGAATCAAAATCTGTCAACTTTAAATAAGGGAGTAGGATCTTTGGCATATCGATCAAACTTCTGAACATGTTATTGTATACTATAGGTGATGTTTACGAGTAGTAAAAGATTCCGCGACCGTCGGATCATCTTTGTTATCACCAACTTGTTGTTTATTATGCTTTCTATGTGTGTAATCAAATGTTTTGTAGTGGAAGTTGTTCATCAATATTAGTATTAGATCGATCAATTTAGCATCTTTTCTTTTGCCTCCATAAACACGAAAACAAATTTAGGTAACGAAAACATCACCATGAGGGTAAATAAGTATGAAAACAATAACCATAGTAAAAGGAGTTGAGGGAAACCATAAATACAGAGAAGTGCAGTTTTGCAACCTGTGCAAACCTAATCAAAATCAGTACTTGTTAATGAAGTAAAACCATACAACTTAATAGAATAAGACAGTATAAAACAGTTCATTCCAAGTGTCAGGCAATCCAGGGAGGCACCAATGGCTACAATCAGCGGAGACCCCTGGGTTAGCCCTCTGAGCAGGGCTTAAATCACCACTGTAAATCGATGGGTGCCCATCTTTCCTAAGCTCAGAGAGCATGGTTATGTCCAACAAATATGTAGGGACGTGCATTTCTCTAATGACTTCATCCACCACTCTCATCTGGTCAGGGTACGTCCCGGGGTAGGTCATTCCCGCCATCGGTGTCGTCTCTCCGTAACAGTTTTTGCTAGCGATCGCGGTTGCTCCTGCGATCCATTCACTCGGACTGTCGAAAGTATTTCATCAAAGACTATAATTTACATCACAAATCATATATGGAACATATCAAGGGACTTACTTGTAATGCGTGGGGGAAATGGATTGGAAAAAGACTCTAGTTTTAGTTACGTCGACATTGGTGTCGACCCAATCAGCCCATGTTCTCAACCCTTTCTCCAATGCAACCAAACGATCAATGTCCTTGTAATACTGTCCCCCTGTTTCAATCAAATCCCACCCTTGAAGGGATCCTTTATGACTCCACCAATGGCCCGTGTTGAACACCAGCACGTCGGCGGTCGTCCAGGAGTTTCCGTTCACAGATATGTCATCTAACTTAAGAATTCTCCTCCCTCCGACTATTTCTATGTCTACCAAGTATGGAGCTTCATAAAACGATATTGATAAACCATAGTCCTGCAATTTTTTAGAATTCAAAACAGTTATCCAATCGAAAGAATGGGTATTTATGTTGCTTTTGAACATGAGCAGATGACTTACAATGAAGTTGAAGGTGGAGAGAGGATCTCCTTTGGTCATCTGAGTCTGCATTTGGGGTGCAGAAGCTGAGATCATACAAATCAAAGATTCCCATTGGTTCCTTCCCAGAGAATCACCGAAGAACATCACATGTTTGCCTCTCATTTTGGATAAAAACACGAGTCCGTCAAACCTCGGGAGCACGCAGTTGAGAGGCTGCCATCGATATTTGAGGTAATCAGAGTCGGGTCTGCCGTACATTTGGCAGTTGAATTCTGCATCGATGAATGGGCAGTTGGAAGATTGGTACAAGGGGTAAGTGTCATCACGAACCCAAGTGCCAGCAAACAAAGCGCAGGTGGTTTGGAACATTGGGTTCCGAAGTTGTGGTGGGTGGTGGTGGTTCTTCAAGCTCGCTATCAGAGCCGACAAACCCGTCTGAAACTGAAACAAGGAGAGCAAAACAAAGGGCAGACATGAAAGAAGTGACATCGTGCATGTGAAGGGAAGATGAAAAGGGTTGTAGTGAGCTTAAATGCAGTGATGGTGGTGGATGCCAATATGCGTTGCTTCATTTAGACCCTTTTTTTAAAAACATGTCTTGAGCTTCTTTCATTCGAATAGGAGACCCTTCCTTGTCTTGAGCTTCTTTCATTCGAATATGAGACCCTTCCTTGCCTGCAAGTTTATCTTGTTCCATTTTCATGGAGTCTAATTATAATTTATTTCCCAAAACTCATTTATGATTTTCAATTTTCATACTTGAGTAGGATGCTGTTTGATTATTTGGAAAAGGAGAAGAATACCATTAACAAAAGCAATGTAGGTGTGTGCTTCGCATGAAAAAGCCCAATGTTCTTTGCTTTGCTTCGTCCACATGCATAGAACAATAAATCATTCTTTTGCATTCCAATTTTTTAGGATACTTTTCTTATAATTAGGGTCCTAATTTTTTATATTTATAATTAGTACCCTCAGTTTTTTATAATTTCATAAAATTTTAGTTTTTGGCCCTTTTTTTCATTTCTCTTATTAATTCATCCAACTTTGAATTAAATTTAACCAATATTTTATATTTATAATCGACCCCTAACTTTTATAAGTTCATAAAATGTTTGGTTTTTGACCATCTTTTTCCATTTCTCTTATTCATTCATTCAATTTGAAATAAATTTAATCATGTTTTTCTCTTTAGATTATAATTAAGTTTTAGTCTTCTTCATTGTCAGTCTAACAATAATATAATATACAATTCTTTTTATTTATTTATTATTCAGAATCAAGCTATGTATCATACACGCATTCAATTTTTTTTAATATTTATTCTCTTTTAGTTGTATGTAAAGTGTTCTCAATAAAAATAATAAAAAATATTTTCACAAAATTTAATCATTTTTCTATGATTTATGTATTTATTTATTATTCAAAATCAATCTATGTATCATACACGTATTCAATTTTTTATATTTATTCTGTTTTAGTTGTATGTAAAGTGTTTCCTCGATAAAATAATAAAATTATATTTTTAAAAAAATTAATAATTTTTCTATGATTTATATATGGAATATTGAATTAATTGTTCAAAGCAATGAAATATATTTTCATTTTACAAAGGTATATTTTTTAGTTTTCGTTCAGGGCTCGAAAATGTCTAGACGGCTCTTAATATATCCTTAATTTATTGGTGTATGTAAATGTTTTTATTTGTTCAAAGCAAGTTGGAAAATCAAAATGAGTTATGTGCAACTTGCAGGATACCCAAGAGTAACGAAGAAACCTCAAAGGTTAATTCGACTGCAAGTTGGGCCGATTATTGCCCATCATATATTCATGGGTGGAATTCGATCCTGCAACTTGCATTCAAACTTGGCTAATTTCACTTGTTGGACTCATCTAGGTTACATGTCTAATCATCGCTTCATATTCCAACATGTGTCCAATTTTATGAATATTTAATAATTTTAAGATCAACTTGAACAAATTAATTAAATTTTGATTAGAAACTTGAAGATATCTTCCGAATAAACTAGATATACTACATGTCAAAACTTGATAAAATATCTCATTTCATAAGTTCAATTCTAAACAATTTTATTTTTTAATTTTTTTTATTAAACTTCAAAATATCTATCATAAGTATATAAAAAAGTTGATATGCAATCAACAACTTTTCTTTTTATTAAGCTAAGACGATTATAAAATAGTATTTGTTTTAAATATTTTTAACTATTTGACAATGTTTAATTATCTTGTCACATCCGCTGATGTTTAAATTCGTGATCTCTAAAAATAATAATGATTCTTTTAACTACTAAGATAAGTTGATTGGTACAATCATCAACTTTTTATAAATACTTCAAATATGTATTTATAAGCATGTGGTGAGATTTGACACTTTAACAATCAACATCACAAGTTGGTCTCCTCCCGCTTAGAAAAAGGAGAAAACAAAAATCCAAAAGCAACTTACAAAAACTAAAAGTTGTCCATGAAAGCTTTAAAAAGGAATTAGGTATTTTCCCTTATTAATTACATCCCATAATTCTATGTCACACTATTAGGGAAGAACAAAATTCGTCTATATTCAAAAAATTATTTTTTTTAATTTTGAGTTATTATAGTTGAGTGATTCGAGTCAAATCGAATTATAAATTCGGTTTTCGAGTTTGAGTAGAGTTGAAATTTTGAATTTTCGAGTTCGAGTAGAACTGAAAATTTGACCCAATACTTTGATAGTTTTACAATTTAATCATTGATTTCATTATTTCTTCAATTCATCCTTCATTTTAAGTTCATTTTTACCAAATTTAAACCACATGCTCCTAAACCATAATAGAATACATGTGTGTACTTTCAATTCCTCTTTTTGATAACAAATTTTTTATTTTTCAATTTAGTCCTTCAGTTTTTCATAATCTCCTTATTACTTCAATTTGTGATTTATTTTTAAGTCATTTTTACCAAATTTGAACTACATGCTCATATACCACAATAGAATACTTATGTAACTTTAATTTTTATTTTTTTACTAAAGATAGTCTATCTTATTTATGTAGCCCTTAACTTTACATTTTACTCAATTTGGTCTTTTGACTACAATTATTTGTAAATTCTTTCTTCTCATCAATTCATTGACTCGTTTATACTCTCATAAATATTTTACACTCGAAATAATTTCTATAAAATATAATATTATGAATATATTTCATAATTTTAGATTGTATTTGATATATTAAATAACATTATAACATGAAAGAATATAATATATATTGTCGTTAGATAAAGTCAAAAAATTGGAACAAATCATTGCCATAAAACTATAAATAATTATAATAAAATTAGTACAAAAAACTCGAATAACTCGACTTGAATTTCTTAAACTTGACTCGACTCGACTCGAAAAAAATTTAAGTTAAGTTCGAGTTATAAAATACGACTCGTTAACTCGAATAACTCGAAATTTTTTGACTCGACTCGATCGAATGCTCACCCCTAAACACAACCTTTAATAAAATACTGCAAACCTCAGTTTTTAAGCGTCCCCTTTTTTTACAAACCGTTTTTAAGGTTTAGATTTTGAAATAATAACATGCCTTTTCAAGGGATTACAACTTTAAAGATTTATCATATGCATTTTTAATTATGTTTTAATTTGTATATGAAAGAAACATTGTTGAGAGGGGAGTTATTAATTCTGAATATATATCATAAAATTGACACGAGTTTTATAAAAGAATAGAATTAGAGTTGGCGTTTGAAATGGATTTTTTTTTTCAATTTTAGTTGTCTTTGTATTTATTAAAAGAATACATTTGCGAGATAAGTTTTTATTTATTTATTTACATTTTTATACAATACTAAAATTATTCATGACGATCTAAACTCTTAAATCAAAAGTAATTATATTTGAGTGAATTTGAATTCATATTTTATTTGTTTTTGTGTGGCTTAAAGCACAAAATAACTCTTGTACTTTGGCAAATTTAATCAAATTGGTTCCTTAAATTTTTTGAGGTTAAATTAGCCTCTGAGCATGATAAGTTTGATCAAATTGGTCATTACTCTTTTTTTTTAATCAAATTAGATCCCAAAATAATGTCAATTTTCAGTTTATCTCTACACATTTATACTAATTATAAAAGGGTTAACTATTTTAAGTAAATATATAGTTTTAGTTCAAATAAATTTGAGTTCAAATGACAAACATTGTCAATTCTAATTGGCAATGTGACAATGATATATAAAGTGGGTTTGCTTAATCATTCATGATAGGCAACAATAAACCGAGGCAAAATTCACATGGGTCCATCAAATCAAAAACTAATCTTGTGTCTCCATACTATATACTTTTGATATGACAATGTGAATATAACTCATCCAACTTGATTTCAAATTAAGACATTTCACCATGTTTTTTTTTTTTGGAATTAGTCCAAAAATTGAAAAAGGAAGAAAGACTGGAACACTCTTTTGAGACAAGTAGTAGGTGTAGTTTCATCATATAGCCCCCCCCCAAGTGAGAGTTTCTCATTTGGCATCCAAAAGAGAAAGCACACTTTCTTTTCCCCAAACTCCTTTTTCATTTATCCCTATTTTACTAGCAACAAATTGTTTGGGAGCATTTAGAAATGGAATCAAATGGACTCCACCCTTAAAGTTATATATAAACAAATAATTAAGAAACTATTTAGCTATCTTACTTTTACTTGACGTATGTTACCATTGGATAACAGATGTGTTAAAAGAAAATGTATTTGTTCAAAATTTGTTATTAATATAACAGGTTCTGCAATTTGTTTTTATACGAGGGTGATGTTCACAACACAAATAACTAAAGTCATATAGCAAAACAATGAAAAGAAAGTAACCCACTTTCCATATTGAAAGGATGCGTACAATAAAGTGGTAGACTCAAGCTTTAGTTAAACTAATTCATACAATTATGCTTTAAGTTGTTTACGCAGAGCATTAAACTTTGAACCTTTGGAGGCCAACTTTATATCCTAGAGACAAGGTGTCCCTTTGTACTTGTTCTTGGAAATCTTTGTAAGTAAAAGGTTTGTATTTTGAGCTGTGGATCACACTGTCTTCGGCTGGGAATACAAAGTAACAGATTGAGAGCCGCTCCTCCTGCGTCTTCACTCTCACCCTGTGTTTCACGCCCATGTATTCGTCGTCGCTTATCGCCTAAACTTGGAATATTTTAATGAAAAAATTGTAAGATTTCAGCATTGTATTGTGTATTAATGGAAGTTAGAATTGAGTGTTTTTTAGACCTGCATCATGTCACCAATATGGACTACGAGGGTGTTTGGAATTGGGTTCACCAGGAGCCACTTATTGTCCTTGAAAATTTCTAGTCCTCCAACATGGTCTTGGTTCACTATCGAAAGCACCGAACTATCGGTGTGTGGGATCATGCCCCAAGCCTCACCGGCCTTGTAGGGGAGTGGCGGATACCGGTAAACGCGAATGAATCCGGTTGATTCTTTTAACATAGACTCGGATTGTTTCGGATCCAGATCGAGATTCTTGGCCATTGATTCAAACAAGGTTGTGGCAATTCTTGAAAGGTGCCTCCCATATTCTTCCAACAAAAGCCTAATGGAAAAGACAGTGAAGAAAAAATATCTGGTTAAGCACAGTGGGGACAATTTTATAAGTTTTATTGTGCTTTGATCGACCATCAAAGTCATTTCGCGAACTGGGAAAGATATGCAGATCCATGATTTTGTTTATATGTGATGGCAAAGAATATGGCATAACGTAAAAACAAGTAGTTAAAATATGACCCTTTTTTGTTTTAGGTACTTCAACTATTTTTTGGTCAAATATTTTAGGGGTTTAAAGAAAAAATAGATATAATTTAAAGACTTATTTTGACCAAAATAGTAAGGTACTTAAAATAGTTACATATAATAGTATAAGTACTTAATTTAATCAAAAAAATAATTTAAGTACCTAAAAAAATAGCATAGTTCAAATATTTTTTTAGTTTAATCCAAATAATATTAATAATTTGCCATTCATGGAACGGATTTAGAGTGGAGGGGGCATTACTCAGATCAAACATATCAATCAAATGCTTTTAGAAAGTCGTTCTTGCGCCTTTCTGCATTTTTCATTTGGTGGCCTCAGCTGACTATGCATCCATTAATTCTAATTTTTTAATAATTTATCGTGATTATAAGATTATATATTTTAAATATTTTTTAATTATTAATAATACACACACTTTATAAATATATATATGTTTAAATTTATGATTTATAAGAAAATTAATATTATGATTTACCACTAAATCTGTACGCAAGGAACTTTTATGACAATTAATATTCGTATATTAATAAATAAATAGTAATAAAACAACACACACAAAAACCTATGTTGATTGGATAATTATCATTTTACACTATATGCTTCTTTTTTTAGTGTCTTTAAAAAAAGTTATTGATACTGACCTTGCAATCGTCATTTTTGGAAATAAAAACGCAAAAAGTTCAATCAGTTGGTCACTTCGTTTGACTACTGACCACTCAAAAGCAACACTAAATACGCCAGCCAAAAGGAAACAGAAAAAATGAAACAGTACCTGAAACCATGAAGCAAGGGATCCTCAGATTGAAATTGTGGGAGTTGACTCAGTGGAACATTGAAACCTTCCAACCAGTTCAAATTCGGGGACGCACCGTTTAGGGCAGTCCCAGACGAAGTTAAGGCAGGGGTACCCCAGAAATAAGACATAGGGTTAGTGATTAAAGCTTGCTTGGACTCAAAGGACAAAGAAAACAGCATGTTAGCATGGTGCTGGAGTTTGGTCAGAAGGGTTGAAGGAATCCCGTGGTTAACCAAACGAAAAATACCCCATTTCTTACAAGTTTCATCGAGCTTGTGCAGGCTAAGCCATTGAAGATCCACCATAGGAACCGGAACTGAATCTTGGGTGTCTTCAATGGAGTAGCTGTTTTGTTGAGGAAAAACAGCATTCAGTTGGCGAAAGACAGGAGGATAGGATCCAACGTTGCTCATTTCAAGCATGCTTGTAAATTGTATGTGTTGTTTGTTTTGGTTAAGAAGATGTGAATGAATGAGAGATGCTCTATCTCTAGAGTCTAAATAGAGAGGTGATGGTGGTGTTTTGTCCTAAAGCCTAAGGGGAAGTGAATTTATTGTGAGGGACCAGTAGGGACCCTTTTGGATCTGTCGTGTGACGTGTTGATCTTCTGAGGACGATTTGACATATTATTTAATCGTATATTTATCTTTTTAGTACTGTTTGATATATATTTCTTGAAGTGACATCCTTTCGGTTGAGCTGGTGAAAGACACATCTTCAGAGGCGCGTTTTATCCGGATTTTCGTTGAATTGGATGCCACGTGTGGAAGGTGCATCTCCGGGGACGCGCCTTCACGGGATTCTGATGACTCGGCTGCCACGCTGATATTTTGTTTAATAATAAATATTTTATTTTTATTATTATTATAAATTAGTAATATATTATATAAAGTGTTTCGATTATAATGTAAGAATTATCAAATGTATTTTGTTAATGTGTGTTAAAGGTAGAGTGAATTATTAACATTAATATGATAGAACAATATATGAAAATCAGTTTTGATTTTATTGTAGTTATAGGAAAAATGTATGAAATTATAATATTACACATATGGTTATATTATTATTTTTGATTTTGATTATTGATCTATTAATTTTATCAGTTAATTATTTAAATGTTATCAATCTAGTCATCTCTTATCAATATTTAACGAAAATATTGATGCATAAGTTAATAAATTAGTATAATTACACATTTAATCTTCAAGACTTACATATTTTATGAATTTAGTCTTATTGAAAATTTAATTTAATAAATTTAATCTTCCAATCAGAACATGAAATGTGTCATCGTATACATAAATTTTTTAATAACTTTTAATTTGTTTAATTTAATATTTTTCTCTACTTAGAAGGTGGAATTATTATTATATTTAAAAAAATTTATAACTAATAATATTAATTATTATATTAAATAAATATATTGAAAATATTTATGTATTTAAAAGATAAAAAAAATTATTTAGGTATACACACATTGACAAATTATATAAAATGCAATAACATTAAATTATTAGAAACAAAAACATTCATTTAAATACAATATTAATTACATAAGAGTTAACAGTTATATGATGATAACATAGCTGGACATTTTTTTTCTATTGTGCCTGATGTTTCTACAATGGCCACATCGTTTTTGTTCTGTTGACTTCTCCCGAATATCCATATCACAATGTATTCTAGTAGATTTTGGACGACCTGAGTCCCTCAATAGCAATGGATTTGGTACAATTGTAAACCAAGTTTGAATCTCATTTGGGTCTCTTTCGTTTCCTATGGGCGGAAACTCAAATTCATATGCCTTGAATACTTGTGAAAGTTGGTATACGGTATCAACATAATTTTTGTAGTCCAAATGCGAATGTGAGCAAGCTGCAATGACATGAGAGCATGGATATTTGAGTGCTTGAAAGAAACCACAATCGCACCACCTCTCTTGCAGATTAACTCTGAAAGAGTTAGCTTCAATCCCTTGCAGCGGACGTGGCATTTCGGTTACACGAAACAATTCACGGATGCGAGAAAAATTTGTAACTAACATCCCATTTGATGCAGCCACTTTTTTCTGTAAATCAGCTACTAGTCTTGGGTGGTAAATATGGTCGTTTTGCATCCAAGTAAGAGCCTGTCCACCGAGCTTTGCAAAGAGTTGACCCAAACGAAAATAAGTCGTTTTAACCAACGCCGTGACTGGTAAATGGCGTGCCCCCTTTAAGGTTGAATTTATTGCTTCAGCCAAGTTTGTTGTCATATGACCATAGCGATACCCCCCGTCATATGCATTTGTCCACATTTCTTTGCTGATGTCCATAATGTACTCGCACCCCTTCTTATTTTTGCCAAACAGCTCTTGTAGCATCGACTCAAACCTTTGAGGTAAGAGTTCGTAACCTAAGCCATTATGAATATGTAATAGTTAATATGAAGTATAAATAAGTAATAAGAAATTGATAGAAAAATTGGGAAAAAGTAACATACCCATCCGCACGACTAATTGTCGTTCATCGTTCTTCTTGTATTTTCCGTAATAGTTTGCAGCAATATGACGGACACAATAATGATGTTGAACATGTGGAGGTCTATACATTGTACCCAAAGAGTCCATTGCTGCTTTTATCCCGGCTCCTCGGTCTGAAATAATGCATACTCGTTCCCTGGTGACAACATGTAAACGTAATTTTTTAAGGAAAAAAGCCCAAGACTCAGTGTCTTCTCCTTGAACGAGAGCAAACGCAACAGGAAGAATATTGCGGTTTCCATCTTGGACCACAACCAATAATAAACCTTGCTTGTATTTCCCATACAAGAAAGTACCATCAATTTGGACAACTGGTTTACAGTACTTGACTGCATTAATACACTGAGGGTAAGTCCAAAAGACACAATAAAATTGGTAGCGATCACGAACCATTCGATCATTCACGTAATGATGTTGAGTTTCGAACTCAACAATTGTCCCGAGATTAAGTCTTTGCACAACATGAAACCAACTGGGCAGCTCGTTGTAAGAGGAATCCCATTCACCATGAAGTTTGCAAACGACATTATGTTTTGCCAACCACGCTTTTTTATATGAGACAGTGTACCCATATTGTGACTGTATAGCAGAAATCAACACTACAACAGCTATATGAGAGCTTTGCTTCACAATGGGCATGATTGCTTGGCAAATAATATTGGAGTCCAAGTTGGGATGATCTTGGTTTATACCTCTTGTACAACATGTATGAGGACCGTTGTATCTGGTTAGTTCCCATAAGTTGTTTTTCCTCTTCCTCTTTGATACACGGACCATCCATTGACATCCGTTGTCACGTTGGACGCAGTAGCAGACATATTTCTCCGTGTTAGATCGATCAACTCGGGACTGAACTAAGTTACGAATATTGTAACTCTTTATTGCCATCATTGCTTCCTCATTCGATGCGAACTCCATTCCAATATGTAAATTACCGTCATTGACTGATGATTGAAGTCCATAGTTGCCAATATCAGGAAGATCTGGAAATTCAGGCTCATACATTGCATCATAATCAGCCTCATACATATGTGCAGGAAGTTCGGCTGGTGTTGTATTTATCGGAACATCATCCTCGTCATCATCAGAATGTACGTTAAACTGTGGTGAGTCAAGTTCAACGAATAATCCCGTTTCAGCACCATCTGCACCTGGCTCCCGAAGAGGTTCTTCTGGTGGAGATGAGGGTTCCTCCGATAATCCAATGTTGAGGTCAAATAAGTTCCCGCTTGCGTGTCCTCCCCTTGAACTTGAGGCCATTGTATCATGTAGGATGTGAATAGACTACCGTCTCGTTGGCATTTCCATATATAAGTCGAAAACATTGGCAGATGAATGTCTGCCCCTTGAAGTAGAAGAGATGTTGCCATATGGATTATTGGTGAAGCCACGTGGGTTGAGATCATAAGCAGTTGCAGTTGAATGCCTTCCTATTGAATTTGATGGCATGGCATTTGGCGTTGGATCCGCCATTAATGATGTGAAATCATTACAAATCAGTTGTGTCGGGCTATCAACTTGATCAGCTTGATATGCAATGCCAAAGTGAGAGGAATATGAGAGACCACGAGTTGCACGAACCTCAATAAAAGTGGCATACATTTCAATAAGAGATTGTGAACTCCCCATATGAGCATCAACCATCATAGAAACATCATCATCGTTTGAAAGCTGAAATGATGTATACGTGAGCGAAAAAAGTTCAGTAGGAAATCTATACTGAAGTGAAGATAGTCTTCTCTGGCATGCTACACGAATCTTTAACGAAATTTTTGTGATTAACTTCTCAATTGTGATGTTTCTCTTCAAGGTTAAGGGGATATAATGATCTGACTCAAAAACAACCCCATCTTCAGCTTCCTTAATTTCTCCATCATACAAAACAACAACAGAAAGACGACTCATTTTTAGAGAATTTGAGAATTTAGAGTTTGGGAATTTGAGAATTTGAAAGCTTGTGAACTGAAGTTTGTTTTGAAAGTTTATAATACGTTGCATATAAAAGTGTCTATAATCGGGGTACTATTTACATGAAGGCGCGTTCCCGGGGGCGCGCCTTCCATTATTTTATCAGAGAATATGTTATCATTGCCTTATTATGTCACTCATGTCCCTCGGGGACACTATTCATATCAGTACCTATTATTTCTCAGGGGACTTGAAGGCGCGTTCCCGGGGGCGCGCCTTCCATTATTTTGTCAGAGAATATGTTATCATTGCCCTATTATGTCACTCATGTCCCTCGGGGACACTATTCATATCAGTACCTATTATTTCTCAGGGGACTTGAAGGCGCGTTCCCGGGGGGGCGCCTTCCATTATTTTGTCAGAGAATATGTTATCATTGCCCTATTATGTCACTCATGTCCCTCAGGGACACTATTCATATCAGTACCTATTATTTCTCAGGGGACTTGAAGGCGCGTTCCCAGGGGTGCGCCTTCTATTATTTTGTCAGAGAATATGTTATCATTGCCCTCTTATGTCACTCATGTCCCTCGGGGACACTAGATGGATTGTGAAATCAAGTAAATTATAACCAAAATTTAACTTCTTTTGAAAGTTCAACAAGTTAAAAATAAATTATACATATAGATTAATTTAAGTTCATAACTTAAATTAAAACGTTATGTGAAGTTTGAATAAATTAGATAAAATGTTATGGATAAATTGAATAAATGTGAAGTGATAAGTTGATTGTGACATTGAAATTAGATGAAATGAGCATCGAGATGTTTTTACAAATAAATGTGAAGTGATAAGTTGATTTTAATGTATACGTTTTAATATATATGTTAATGATAAAATCATATGTAAGGATAAATTTAATTTCAATTTAAGTATTGTGAACTATAATTGGAATATAACTTTTAATTTCGAATACAATTGGAATATTAAGTT